TCTATAACATATTACTCCTCTCTTAATACATGTTTTGAATATACAAAAACATATATTAAGAGAGGAGTAAATGTTTGTGAGTGTACATATACAGAGTGGTTTGTAAGCCTGATCTCTCTCTTCAGCTGTTATAGATACATCCATAACTTTACTGCAATGTTATTATACTATTAGAGTTGTATGTTTATGACTGTGGAAGGATGACTTTTGTATTGGCTTGGAGTAAACAGGTCATCTAACTAGGGAATTCTGTAACTCCACCTTCTCCATAACCATGGTCTAGAGGGGCGGGGTATAAATTTAATAAGTAAATAAATATAAATAAATTTACTTTCCCCACTCCATTCATAATCTTTTCCCCACCCCAACAGAAATTTGTATAACATCACAGACCTCAGGTACAGATCATGTCTCCTACTAATGGAAACTGAAAACCTGATCAGATCGCACAGATAATTATAGTCATTCATACCTTCGTTTTGCTGCTTTCACTTTCTCCCTCCATGGGTGGAATGACGATGGAGAGGTTGGGGGGCTTCTTGCTCTGTAGGCGGCTGCTGCTGGTACTCGAGCGGCTGCTTCCGTTTTTGTCACTGTCAGCCATCTTGGACAGGATGAATTAGTCAGCCTGAGGTGAAGAAAATAAGTTCAGTTATATACCACCACAGAGCTTCTTGAGCCAAACTTTCAACCTAAGCAGGTGAGTTAAAATTAAACTGATCACTCAGAGACAACTTGTAACCATGTTTTAATCTGTGGCAGCAGAAACCGTTAAGGATTCTGTGGTGTCTCAGGAATCAACGCATCTCCTGAACTGAGCTACTTAGAGATCATGGCTAGGGCTGGTGGAGGTGGCCATCAAGAGGACCACACATTTCCCATTTTTATTTTAATCTCTCACTATTATAGTCCCTAGCTTTTGCTGGGCTCTTTGTGGTGAGTGGCATATGTGTCCAGCATCTTCAAAAACTTTATGATATACCATCTTTAACTGAATGCCATTCAATTTAACTCTGTAGCCACTGTGCCTATTGTTCTGAATATTTACAGTGTACTTAAGACGGACACCTCTATGATGTGTGTGTATGTGTGCATGCAAAGCATACATATATACAGTACAATTAAATATGCATACATTGTGTGCACGCACATACACACACACTAGATAGATAGATAGATAGATAGATAGATAGATAGAGTATGTATGTGCACGTGCACACATGCACGATAGATAGATAGATAGATAGATAGTGTATGTATGTGCACGCGCACACACACACACACATCCCTCTTAGGTCACAATCCTACTTCTAGGCACTGCTAGGAGCAGATTCACTTAAGAGTTGATTTGCCATTCAACAACTGATTCAATAGGTCTACCAAGACTGGAAATATCAATAGGATTAAGGCCTGGGGGGCCCCATCTTTTTAAAATCACCAACAAAACTCAACTTCAGAGCAACAGCTTCCTAAATGTAGCTTTTTGAAATTCTGTAGTCCCCTTTCCATTTGTCATGTTCATACAAACTGTCACCAAAGAAGGAGCTAATTGAATCTCTTTCCCCCCAAAACATACAAATTGTAAAACTGTTGCACAGAAAAACCAACACCAATTTGTCTGAATGTTAGCAGACCTCAATCCTTTGAAAGAACTTATCTGTGCTTGCAAATCTAATCTAATGCTAAAAAGGGAGGGCAGGGCAGAAGAGAGGAGCAGATGTTATAGTTACAGTGGTCCCCCCCCTTGACGATTACCCCTCTTGACGCTGAAATCGCTTCACGCTGTGCTTGCAAATCTAATCTAATGCTAAAGAGGGAGGGCAGGGCAGAAGAGAGGAACAGATGTTATAGTTACAGTGGTCCCCCCCTTGACGATTACCCCACTTGACGCTGAAATCGCTTCACAACAATGGTTTTGTGATCACTATTGCAATCGCAAAACGATGTTTCAAAGGGCGATTTTCGTTTTACGACGATCGGTTCCCTGCTTCAGGAACCGATTCTTCACATTACGACAATCTAAAAACAGCTGATCGTCGGGGTCCAAAATGGCCGCCCGCTGTGCAAAATGGCTCCTCGCTGTTTTTAGGACTGATTTTTGGCTTTACAGGCACCGGAAAATGGCCGCCCTATGGAGGATCTTCACTGGACGATGAGGAATTTCGCTTATTGGAACACATTAACCATTTTTAAATGCATTTCAATGGTTTTTCCCCGCTTGACGACAATTTCGCTCTACAGTGATTTTAACGGAACGGATTATCGTCGTCAAGCGGGGCACCACTGTATGAGACAAGACAAACCTTTATTGGCATAAAGGCAATTGTCTTGTCTTATAGTTATGTGATGATTTCCCAAATGACATTCAATAGGAACAAATAAGGTCTCTGAGATTCTGGTTCATGCTGGGAGACCTTTCAAGCAGTCTAAGCCAAAAAGGCTTTCCAAATTGCGAAAATGGGGGCCCAAATCAATTTTAATGGGTTCCACTTTTGCACTATTTTTAGGACAAAAGTTCTTTCCCAACCAGTCCAAGCAGGTTTACACAAGGAAACCCCAGGTGCTTTCTTTGCTTATCCCAGCTTACTCAGGTTAGCTGGTGATCCCATTGTTTTTGCAGGTGTAAGGGACAATCAACAGGCTAAGATTCATATTAATAAGGTTATTATGGCTACAGGCTGGGGGGGTGGAGAAAAGGTTGAGAAGGCTCTGGACAGGATTAGCTGTAGGCAGTAGGTCAGTTAGGGTTTACAATACAGCTCTTAAACGGTCTCACCACTTTGCAGTTGGAGTTATTTAGGTTAGGCTGTCTAAGAGCCCAACGACCTGTCAATAGTAGCATAAAAAGGGTCAAAACACCAGCACAGCTGGCCCAAGGAGACAGGTTACATTAGTGGCCAGACCACAAGATCTTTTGGGTAGCAAAGCTGATGGAGATCTAGTTACTGTAGATTTCAGATCATGGACACAGTTGCCTCTAAGCCTCCACTGAAATACCACAACGGACCAAACAATGTTTGTGTTATCCCTAGTGCAAGACCTAACAATTTGAAAACTTTATTGTAAACAAGGTTTGAAACCAGTTTGGAAGCAAAACATTTGCATTTCTGATTTGGCATCATCATTCATGATTTGTTAGTTAACTGATAGATTTTTTTTTAAAAAAAACCTAGGAACTGTTGCAATATCAGTACGAGGCTGAAAACCTCCCCAGTAGGCCATCGCTCTTGAGCCTGAACTTCAGAAACTGTGGAAAGGCAGAGAGAGCCATTCAGGAGAGTGAACGGTCAGATCTACTATCTGTGGGCAGTGGCTTCAATATTGCATCAAAAATGCAATCAGGGCACTCCATTCAGCCTTTCAGTTGGGCCGTTCCAACCAGGTTTGGCCCTCATGCTTTTCCACTATTAAAACACAGACAAGCTTCATGTCTAATAGGCGAAATTCATTGTTAGAAATTGGGACTACTGAATTTCTGGACTTACGGTTTTCCAAAAAAGGGAGAGAGCAAGTGTGGAAAGTATGGAAATATAATGCAAACAGAAGGCCCAACAGAAGCACCAACACAGGCTATTTTGCTCAGGACCAACCCAAGATATTTTGCTGCCTAAGACAAAAGACAAGATGATGATCCCTTCCCATTTCCATGCGCAGAAGCTAACAAGATAGGAACTTGCATCTTACTTCAACATAATTATGGGAGAAATTGTCCTCCACTGTACCTGAAGCCAAAAGATTGTTTAGGGGTCTAAGATGAGTTCATAGGATCATAGATTAAAATTGGAAGGGGACTATAAGGCCATTGAGTGCAACCCACTGCTCAATGCAGGAATACAAGGATATCCGCCAGGTGATTGTCTAAATTTCTCTTGAATGCCTCCAGTGTTGGAGCACTCAGCATCTCTTGAGGTAACTGATTCAATTTTCGTACTGCTCTAACAGTTAGGAAGTTTTTCCTGACATTTATCTGAAATCTGGCTTCTTGCAACTTGAGCCCATTGTTGCGCGTTCTGCACTCTGGGATCACCGAGAACAGATCCTGCCCCTCCTCTGTATGACAGCCTTTCAAGTACTGTATTTGAAAAGTGTTCTCATATTTCCTCTCAGTCTTCTTTTCTAAAGTCTAAACATGCCGAGTTCTTTCAGTCTTTTCTCAAGGCTGACTTTCTCAAGGATCATCAGGGGGCTTGGTTTCCAGCCCACTGATTATTCTTGTTGCACTCCTCTGAACTTGCTCCAATTTGTCAGCTGTACCAAAGCTCCGTATGAAAGCTCTGTTCAGTACCAATAAGGAACTCCTGATGGATGGATGGTTCAAGTACCCTCTCCTCCAGCATTTGTAAACTGAAGTGGTTCATTCCACCTAATGGTAGTGCTAGTCCTGAAATCAGGAACCTGCTGGACATCCAAACAACAGCAATATCTAGAAATTTGAGAAAGGCTTTCAAGGTCTCTTACCACTCATGTGTTACAATACTGCTCATGTGCCCACCAGGATGCTTCTCATAAAGTATGGGTGGACAACTTCATGATACTAGGGGACTGCACTGTCACCCTACAAATCTTCTGGGGCCAAACCTACCCCCACTGTCGCAGCTGTTCCCCAACTTTGGAGGCCACTGTGGGAGCACTATGATGCAGAAGGATGCCAGAAGAGAGTCCCTTCACAACACACAGCCCTGTAAGGCTTCAGAACAGAGCATTTTGTGGGATTCTGTCCCAAACACTTCCACTTCTGATTTCAGCAGTATGCAGGTATGCAGAAAAGAAGATACAGAGAGGCAACCTGTATCCCCAGCCCCATCACACAGGCTGCTCAGCATGGACGGTTGACTTTTGAGCCACAGTAAATGGGCAATAGATACGAGTGACAGACTAGGTACATAGCGTAACATACAGACACAGCAAATGGGAGGCAAAAAATAACAACATTTAACTTGTCCTCTGCTATTTGCATGGAAAAGTTCTGAGTCATCAATTTAGGCAATTGCAAAAGAGTGTATTCAAAAGACAATTTCACCTTCCCTGTTGTTTCCTTCCACAGAGACCTGAAAGCAAACTCATCATCAGTAATGAAAGAAATGGCCACGAGAGGGTAGCACCAAACTCTTTATGCTTTCTTGGCTAGTCTCCTGATATAAACAACTATTTTTTGTGGCACCGTCAAGTCTTACTGTGTGGGTACTGAAGAATAAAACTGCAAACAGCAAGGCCAAGTACAGCCCTGTAGTATTTCTATGTAAAGTACAAATGTAAACATGATAAGCAGATGGCTTTGTTATGACGGCTGTAAATGTCAGGGATCAAACCATGGTTTTCATGGCACAGCTTCTGAGCCCAAATGTTTCTCTTTTCCTTCCACTACTACGTAGACCTCAGCCAACTTTCCACAACCTGACAGTCCCAACATCTCCACTCAACGTGGCCTGTGCAGGGTGGAGATGATGGTGCGTATAGTCATGTGTCAAGAAGGGCGACTTGACCATTTGCAGCTTTAGTCATCTGTGCAGCATTCTTCTTTCCTGAAGAAAAGGATCCCCCCCCCAAATCGGTGCTTCAGGTTTTGAATAATTTTCCCAAAGAGGGTCCCGCAACAACCAATCTGGCTTTTTTTTATTTTCCTCAGCT